CGACGACAGGGTGAGGGGGCGCACGGCCCAGGTGATGATGGCGGGCGACGCCAACTTCACCAGCATGATGTCATTGCGGTGGTCCTTGTTGGGGACGCTGTTGTTGAAGTCCGGGTGGGGGAAGGACTCGGTGGCCCTTCGGGTCTGCTCCCAGCCGTCATGTCGCTGGAGGTGGTGCATCCCCAGGTGGGCTATGTATTGGCTGAGGTGGGAGAGACGGTGGTCAGAGGTGGAAGGAGAAGGAGAGACGGGAGGTGGGGCCAGAGGCATGGGGTTGGGAGGGAGACATGAGGGCCCCTTGAGGGAATGAAGGACCACACGTCCACTTCCAACCTCACCCCTGGGTCCCATCGAAACCCCCTTCCAAACTACATCCCCACCCAGCACCCAGCACCTAGCACCCAGCACCCAGCCCCTACCCAACCCCGTCCCAGTTCCGACGTGGTCCATCCCTCCCTCCTCGATCCCCAGTGGCTCCCCATCACCAAGGCCAACTCAGCCCCACCTCTGTGCCCATCTCCACCCCACCTGTCTCACCCCATGCACATTCGCCCCATCACCAAGCCCCTCTCCATGCAAATCTCCATCTCCAGCCCCCTCCCGGCCCCGCCCCGGCCCCCGCACCCACGGCTTGAGGCAGTGAGCCGCTGTCAGGAGCCATTTGGGGGCGACGAGGGTTGCCCCACAGAGCAGACGTGTCTTCTGGAACAGAACCACCTGCCAGGGCTGGGAATGAGGAGAACACTCGTACCCCTTGATGATCCTGGTCTCTCCCCCTACATGCCCTGGAGGGGTGGGGGCAAAAGAGGGGGCTCAGGCATGAGAGGACTCCCAGGAGAGAGGGAGTGGGGGGTGGTGTCTGGGCTCCCCCGCCTGGTGTCCCGCTGGGATGCCCTGGATGGACAGGCCGGGCATTGAATGATTGACATGGCGGTTGGCCAATAGCCACTGTCCTGAGCTCTTTGCCCCCCCCCCCCCCGATCAAGCCTGCAACCCGGGCATGTGCCCTGACCTGGAATTGAACCATGACTTCCTAGTTCAGTGATGGCGAACCTATGACACGCTTGTCAGAGGTGACACGCGAACTCATTTTTTTTGGTTGATTTTTCTTTGTTAAATGGCATTTAAATATATAAAATAAATATCAAAAATATAAGTCTTTGTTTTACTATGGTTGCAAATATCAAAAAATTTCTGTATGTGACACGGCACCAGAGTTAAGTTAGGGTTTTTCAAAATGCTGACACGCCGAGCTCAAAAGGTTCACCATCGCTGAATTGATTCTAACACCTGCTGCAGCCAAGGACCTCCAGGGCCTCATTCTGGCTCATAGATCCCTTCGGATGCCCCCTCTGGGTTATTCTCGACGCAGAGGGTTGGGGGATGCTGGAGGTTTGAGAGGGAGGCCCCTGCCCTTCCCTAACGCCCACCGTACCTGTCGCCAGAGCCAGCATGATTAATGGCAGAATCGTCATGGCCTGGAGCGGGGGGAGGAGGGCAGGCCCCAGGTGCTTCTGGAAGCAAGGAGGGGGCCAAATGGGGAGACCGCGGGCGCGTTCCTGCCCCTTCCTCTCTCCCTCGCCTGCTCTGACCGTCCCCAGGGAGACACGACAGGGCTGGCAGAATGCCCTGCGCTCTGTTCTCACAGCACCCTGACCTCTGGGCCTTGACATGAATCTTTGGAGGGACCAGATCTCAGATAGAAGCTGCTGGCGGCCAAGGAGGATGTGGCCGTGGCCTGGGGAGGATTTGCCCCATGTCATGTCGACTTCTGACACCCCCCCCCCCCCCCAGGTCCCTTTCAGAGCAGGTTTTCCCCTGGGTCCACCTGAGAGCTGGCCGGGCCCCAGCAGCTTGGGGCAGGACGGGAAAGGGACTTGGCACCATTGAGAAACCACCCAGGGGGACATGGGCTTCTGGGAGTTTGGGGGGGGGGTTGGGGG